ACAGCACTCCATACCTCTTCCACTTATATACCACATCCTTACACACCTATGCTAAATTAATTATATTTTTCTAGCAAAATATTCTCTAGAAATAATTTATACGACAAAACAACGTTTGTCGGGTCAGCTAGTATTGTTATAATTTTTCATTTGTTTGATATAAAAAAGAAAATAATAATAATATAAGTCAGTGGCGTACATTCAATCTTGCTCTGGGGGATTTAATAAAAATAATCGTTATCTTTTTTTTTTTGTTATACAGTTAAATAACTGCTATAAATATATATTATTTTATACAATTTTTTTTACCAATTTACAATTTATTTTTATATTACATTTAATTAATAGCTATTGGAATATAAAAACAGCATAGTTAACAAAACTTTTCAAACAATTATCAATATAATTATTTAATTATTATAATATTTGTATAGTTGTATATTTTAAGTTTAAAGTATAATAATGAAACTACAAATATATTACACGTCATCAATAATTTTCTTTTTCTTTTTTTGACCCGGGTGGGGGAGTTGAACCCGGAAACCACCTTCGTATGTACGCCACTGATTTAAGTGCTGTATAACTTTGCGGGCTCAACAGTGTTAAATTTACTGTTTTGCTTCCATAATAGATACGTAATAGATAAGTATGTGAAATATCGGATAAAATAAATTTACACCGATACATCAAAATAAATGCAATGTAACAAACGCAATTAAATAACATAAATGAAAATATAAAACTATCCAAGACGTGTTCTTACTTCATATCGTATAAATCACGGACTAGAAATAACTACTGTGATCTTGGTCCATGGTGCGTCCTGAGTTCGCAATAATAGAATTGCGTCATTCACTTAAATTTAATTTATTTCTATCATTCAATTACGAAGGAATTATATTTATATGGTATTATTATATAATATACCTATTTCATACCATACACATATTTTCTGAAAATCAAAAAATATCGAATCAATAATATTGTATCACTGCATTATTATACTTTAAAATTGTGTTATACTTTTCTTAAAATACTTGTCGAGACATAAAAAAATATCTAAAAGTTATTATACTTTAGAATTTTCTTATAGTAGTTTCAAAAACATACTCGATTTAAACATACTTAAGAATAAGTCGAAAATTATTATATTTTAAATTTAATCCGTGGTTTTAAAATTTAAAATAATTACAATGCAACAATTATAACTTGGGTCGATGTGAAAAAGTTACCCTGTACTGCAACACAGTCATTATTTATTCTATCTGTATATATTTATACTTAAAACTATATATTTTAGTTTTTATTCATATCCGTGTAAAAATAACCGAATCCAAAGCATTACTTAACTAATAATACCCACTGGTAGTTGTTGATTTGTGATTGTTTTCTTAAAAATAATCAATACTTCTCAATCGAGGAAATCACTATCGTTGCAGGAATGGTTCGAATATTATCAAGGCCGTGTTTGAGTTGAGGCCATGAGAGGGAGGGGGGCAAACTAATTTTTCTTCAATACAAACTTAAAAATAATTTACAGTTTATTACCTACAGCTCATGTTCCTGTTGTAATGAATAACATATTATAATGATAGACTAGTAATTTATATTCTTAATTATTTATGCATTAAATTTTTTAAATAAATTAATGTATTATAGTAGTATGATTTGGACAGGTAGGATAATATGTTGGTATAATAAAAATTTTAGCGATGTATGAATTAGTCGTATGGAATTATTTATTTAAAAAATTAGATTATTCTATGTTGGCCCGGTTTTTCAATCATTAAGTTAATCCCTAGATACTAAACCGTCGGAAAACTTATCTGATGAATAATCTTTCGAATAGGTTTATCGGTTTAATTTTGTTTTCTACATAGCTATCTGACGAATAAAGTTGTCGGCGGAAAAAATTATACTAATAGAAGGTAGTAGCCATTCATTATAGTATAAATTACACAGATCTATTTGATTATGATTGGTCAGTGATAAAATCAATCGGTGATTATATATAATAATTTTGTAATTATTTGTGTTGTGTGTTATCACCTCTCTTACTGTTACAATTTTATTTAAATTACTCTTTTTTATTATTTTTTACTATTCCATTTCAAAAAAATGTATATAAAAAACCTAAGTCAACGAATTCCACATTTAATGAAAAAAAACTAATAAAATCCATAATGAAATAAGATTGTATTATAAAATTATAGAATGAACAGTTGACGATGGAACAATAATTATGAATTATTAACGATTACGCTTTGTAAATAAATATATAAAATAATACGATAATAATACGTGTGATGAATTATGATAACGAACCATACTTCTATAATCAGCTGTAAATTATCCTTAAGTAAAAAAAATTAAGACAACAGATAATATAAAAGTATAATACCATTTGGACCTTATTTTTTTAAAAAAAAATGAGTCCCCTCCTGGACCCTCGATAGTATTATATTAATTATCCGTATACAAAATGTGATATTAAAATATAATGGCAAAACACCAATCATTTACTTTAAGAATATCCGAATTTGAATGGATTGAGCACAATTAACTAAAAATATTTATTGATTAAAATATAATAATAATAAATTCAGTAGACCCCCGCCCCTCCTCCGGGCCTCTTGATACCCAGTTTGTCCCTGCCGATACTATAATAATATAGGATTGAGTAATGTAAGTGAAAAAAAAAGTTATAAAACAATGCAGTTACGTTCTATGTATGTACACACATAAATAAAATGTTCTGAATATTTTTGAATACGATTAATTAGCAATGTGTATTAATTAAAGTTCACGTCAGCTATAACGTGCAGTAGTTGGAACAAAACAATAAAGTGGCCTATTTCAATATGTATATATAATGGATTTCTTGCATGCGATACGAATACGTCTAAAATTCACAAGCAAAATATTCAGTAGATTCGAATTTTTATTTCAGGAACTTTACATTTTTCAAATGTTTTTCATTAAAATATTAATTTCCTTGACACCATTTCACATATTTTACTAAAAAAAAGTTATTATTTCCGGATAATTATTTCATGATAAATAAGAGTTGTACTGTGTATTTGTATACCGAGGTGCCAGCGAACAATAACCGACCAGTATGATGGCGAGCACCCGCTGAGCAACCGACCGACTAATGTTGTTTGTCGGCAGTAAACGTTCGATCGTTAATAATTATCATACATCTAACCTAATTTCAAATGTTGTTGCAATGTTCCTAAATATAGTTGTAACGTGTGAAACATTTACACTTAAGTGCTAAGTCATAAGTCATAACTAAGGCTTTGCACCCGAATAATTTTTTCGGGTTTCGGGTGTTAAATATATTCGGGTGTTCAAACACCGCAATACAATATTTAAACAAACGTTTGGGTGTTAATAACCGTTATTATTTGGGTTAATATTGGTTAATACGGGTGTTAAGTAGTTAGGAAAAATATTATTTTTCATTGGTGGAGGTGGAGGGTGGTGAGCCCCACTCTACTAATGAAATATTTATATTTTTTGTTACTTGCCTATGTAATAAAATAGCAATTTCTTATACAACTGTGTAACAGTTTTTTAGACAAAACTATCATGTTAATTTCAAGCAATCGTGTAACTACGATTTATTTTCGGGGAAGAGGGGGTTATTTTATATGTGTATGAAGCTTATAAATTATAATATCTATTAAGATTAAAAATACTAACACTATGTCCTACTCCTAGTTAATGCGGGCATATTGCATGTGAAAAAAAACAAACTATTTTGTATTTGTGGCATAGGCGGAAATCGGGGAGGGGGTTTGAGGGGACTAAG